TACCAACAGTCTTTCAGATTCACCATCTTCACCATTAGTCCTTTTCTAACAACAGATCCGTCCAAAAAGGAAGACCACCAAAACGCCCTGCTACATTGCAAGGAGAAGGCCGCAACGTATATCATAATTTCTTTATGTGATCTTAAGATTTAAATATATGGAATCGGTGGAAAAGTTATAAGTTCTTATCCACAAAATATGAACCAACAAAAAGTTTCTGAGAGTACGTAATTGTGGGTCATTGTATCTAAAGATAAGGTGGTGTGCAACCATTGAATCACCTCAGACCACTGTAACTCTGATGAAGCCATTTTTCTGAACGATCCCCGAGAGACTGATGAAGCATTTGACTAAACCAAGTACGGTGTAGGGCAGGCCATTCCTGTTTCTCAAATAAATTTTTCATATTTCTTTGGATCGTACAGTAATGCCAACGGATCCGTATGTTCTGATATTGTATATTCTTGCCTCGCAAGGCACGCATCAGAAATGTGTTGTATGCCTCAGACATAAATTTGTCGACGAACAGGATCAGTAAAGCAGGTGACTAATGTTATTTACCTGGGCTTACCAGTAAACCAATAAATGTGAAGATAAATGGAATGACTGCTGGAACAGACTTAGGAAAGTGCGGTGAACGTGACAGGTGTACAGTTAACATCTTTGAGTTCCGAGCGAGGTCAGTTGGCAGTTTTTATGAAGTTGTATTGTCACGATGCTGCCACCGTATACTTCAAAGGGATTTGCCGTTTCAGTCCATTAACCCTGATCACAAGCGAGTATCGGCTCTTGTCTACTGATTGATACTGTAATTGCGAGTGCGATTTATTTCGACAATAAGAAATTGGATGAAGCAGCACACTTGCAACAGAAGGATATTGTTAAAGGATGCTTTCTAGAACGTGAGACTCCTTCGAACCTTATTTGCATACCCAATGAGAGCGAATGCCCTCTGCAGATCTCGTGTTCTTCATCTTAAATTTCTACCTTACTTAGAGTTTCCATGATGAGTACTCTAACTAAGGAAGCGAACAGACAGACAACTAGTTGATAATTATAATTTTTGTTAATATTGAAGTTCGCACTTGCGTGTATAAACTGAGATAATACCGCTGAAAAATTGTTGCTTCCTCTAGCTGTTATAGCGTAACAATCTGGACTTGAACTTGATGACCACTTCATCATCTTTAATGACGTTCAATTCTACGCATGGTTCGATGGTGCATAAGTCTTAAAATTTTACGGAATACCGGAGCACATCATTTCCTTTTTTACATGTGCACGAAGCAGCTATATTTTACATTAAAGCATATGAAATATAATCTTTTATTAGTACACAAAAATGAATATTAATATTATGGGTTTATCTAACTGCTGGTTTTCGATACTCCCTGTCAGAAAATAAGATTCTTTGTCATTCACAGAGAATGTTACGACCCGTTAGTTCATTATTAACTGGGCAGTCCTTCTATCGGTTTCCTTCTTCCTGACTTCTAGTTCGAAACTGTTGGTTTCTCTGAATAATAATTTTTCTCACTCTGGAAGAGAAAACGGTTCAAGATGTGATCGAGGTTGCTCAATCGATAGAGTGCTTCACTCTATCACCTCTTAGAATTGCAGGTTAAAGTTCCGGTCAGTGGTACTTGCCTTTTTTTTCCAAGGTTGATAAATGAGTATCAGTTTGAGGGAAGGAAACGCACTACACGCTATGCTTGTTACCCAGTCGTCATCAACTATTCCATTAAAATAAGACACTCCTGGCTGACGAAACAGAAACGGAGATCAACGTCAAAACATAAAATTCATGAAAAGAAAGACGAGATAAGTAGCCTAAGGAGACCGATATTCCAATGGCTACAAACATACTCACTTTCCTTTACTTCGAGGGTCACTGAGACCAAGCAGTGTAATTGATGTACGATTAAGTGAACAGTCGGTATAATCCTGATTTAATTCAAAGATTTTGCGGGACGTCTATCATTAATGGTTTGAGGATGGTCGGGCATCCAACTCGGAATCGAGAAGTCCCGGTTTCGAGCCCTGGACAAATCATTCGCCTTTCGGAGGTCGATGGAAGAGTTTAGCAACGCTGGAATAAAAATGAGAGCACGCGCTAGTATGTTGGTCATTGAGGCGCTGATAAGGCATCCTGGTTGATGACCAAAATTTCATGAAAAATATTCATGAAAAAAATTCGCCCTGCGCCATGAAGCTTGGTGCACAGTCGTGAAAATATGAGGGAGATCGATATACCAGAGGTCAGAAACCTTCCCTCCTATGATTAGGGTCAATTTAACTTATGCACAACTTTCCATAAGGGAATCTTCATATACGCAGAGTTCGTACCCGCTCGATTTCTCTAATCACTGCCATTTATTGCGGCTCTGATAGCATCGGGCTAGCATCTGCTCGCTTTGAGACAGTATATTTAAGGTAGCCAAACAAAACAGAAAGGACGGTGTTGAGAGAAATTGGACGAAATACGAGTGAAGGTACTCTGAGGCAATTCGCTTATTTCAGCAAATTTGGAAGAAACACCATTGCAACGGTTTGAGTAAGTGATAAACATGCTAAGAAGGAAATTCTGAATCTAATTCACAGTAACGTGACAGAGTAAGGATCAAACAAACAGCATATACTGAGCTCCTGGCATTATCGCGCCTTGCAATTCGGTTCGACAAGGTTAGCCAATTTACGGTAGGTCAGGATCATCTGCTCCTCCCAAATCTGCTGTTCCCTGAACCCGAGAGAATAACTGGATAATGTCAATGAATGAATTAAACGAAAACTGATTTTGAGGCTTTGTGTTACAAAGAACCGAAGAACCATTAGACAGTAGTTGTAGCTGTGCGAGCGAGGAAGGGGAGAGACGAGAGCCACAGTTTACCGATTTGTTCAAGCAGTATGTCGACAATCAACGCCATATCTACGGATGTCAACCTGTGAAGAGGTTGTCTGGACGGCGACGAGTTTCGCATGAAATGCACAAGTCCTCGAAACGGTCGACAGACAGACGTTCATTCGATTTACCGACGGTG